CAGCAGGACCAGGAAATGAGCAAAACACAGTGCTGAGAAGGACTGTCTGTCTGGTTTATAGATTCTTAACCCCCTTTGCGTGTATTTTCCCTTCTGCCTACATCTTAATGTAAGCCCAGATCATTCTCTGTGAGTGGATAAACAGCAAGTAAAAGTAAACTGCGAGACTTAGCTGCCAACAATTACTCCAAGGAAGAGATGGAGTGTTGTTAGCTTAGCTGTTGGTTTATTTACTTATTTAGATACAGGTTTTACCTTTCCAAGCTATTTTTGCCTTACTCCTGCTCCCACCCTCTAATACAACAGATTAATAAAGACAGACTGTCAAGGCTGTCTATTTTTCCCACTGCTACTCCAGGGCTGTGAAGGGACGAAGGGGTGTGTTGCTTAAGGAATGCAAACACAGATCTGCATGAAGCCTGGCCCATTCAGTGGAAGAATGAATTTCAAGAGTGGAAAGGTGAAGGGGAGGAGGAAAGGAAGAGAATGGCCAGAGATCAGGAACTGACTCACACTGTGAAATTAACTGGAGTGAATGTCACTGGCACTCGCTGAAGCAGAGGACTAGGCCAAGGTACGGGTTGACACCAGGGAGGAGAAAGGCCTGGTAACAGTTTAGTCATGGTTTCTTTATGGAAAGCAAGAGAGAAAGGTGCCAAATCAAAAGTGGAAGCCTAGCGGAGAAGGGCAAACTGGGAAGTTGTGGGGTAAATGACTAGGATGGGGTGAGGGGAAGGAGGATTAAGGAAGGAGAGTCAAGTCATTGGCTGTGTTTCTGGAGTAAGATGAGCTGCCCGTCTCCCCTATGCCATAGGAGACCCAGCCATGACATGATTGATTTCACACCCTGTAAAGGAGCATTTTAAAAAAGCAGCCTGGTTGGTTTTGAAATATGAGGCCATGGTGTGACTGACTGTACATCTTTGGCTATATTCTGCATGAGGCAATTTCATTAAGTGCTTAACATCAATCCAGAAAGGAAAATTGAGAGCACCATGTTTACGGTGGGAGGATTTTGTGGAGATGGTGGTGGGGAAGCCCTAAACTGGCTCCTTGTCACAGCCAAGCACAGCAGAGACAGAACATGAACCCCTGACTTCTGACTACAATGGCGAGGGAACACATCAAAGCCCAAAAGTATGAGGTAATATTAGTTGTGTCAACAATTGCATGTTACACACACTGAAGGTGAGCAAAATCTGCCAAGTGTTAATGGACCTGCTGGAAATGAAGACAACTGGGCACCTGTCACAGCTGCCTGGCCTGGCCAACCCTACCTGAGCTGTGGCCCAAGTGGGCTGTCTCTCGCTTTTCTTCTTTTCTGTTGGGTTAATAATGACAACAAGAAGTTTTTCCTAAATGTTTTTTAGAACCTGGCATGACCTCAGAGCAATCATCCAATGTCTGAAAGTATGCTGGAAATCAGATGCCAGGACAAAAAAGAAATGCCACTTTCCAATGCAAATGCCCGAGGAGTTTCCTGAGCTGCCACTCCACTTTCCCCACAATAGCGTTCCATCATAGAAGGGTCAATAAGAGAGGCAGAGAGGTGGATGGGCAACAAAGCTACCGTAGAAACAAGAGCCCCTTGGGGTTGGACAGTGCTGCTACATTTTGCAAGGCTGACCCACAGAGGAAAGTTCCAGATTCATGTCTAGACACCTTTCTGAGTGTGCTCGGCACACACAGGCCTATGATCCAGTGCTGGCTGAAGCTGGGGAGTGGATTGTAGCATCAAGACCCTATTGGAGGTGCTGTCTCTGTTTGTCTCTCCCTGTGTCTCTGTCTCTATGGCAAACATAAATTTTGAATGAAAGAAATAAGAGTCCTTAGAAAATGTTGTGGAAACCCATGCTAAGGGCTGAGTGAAGGAAACACACAGGCAAGTAACCACAATGACTGGAGTTCTGAGCTCACTTGGAAACAAGAGGCATTGCCTAACCGGGGGAGGACCTCAACACATGCTTGTAAAATTGATGAAATAGTTCTGGCCCTGGAGAAACGTCAAGTAATAGAGGCGACAAAGCGAGTATGAAATCATCCCAAAAAAAAATCTACAGAGAAAAAGACATTTATTTTTAAAGGGCCCAAGGAAAGAATATAATTAAACAGAACAATCCCTTTGTATTTTTTCTAACTTTTTAATAGACATTTTCAAAAACAGAAAAGTAGAGAGAAAAGTGAAATGAACCTTCGCATGTCCATCTCCAGCTTCAAAAAATACCAGCATTTGTCCTTTTTATTTTATCTAGTTCCACCTTTTCCTCTTGAATGAGAAAAATGAAAAGAAGAGAATGGCGTTGGGGAGACAGTAACTGACTAGCTTTCCTCCCAGCGTCATCCAAAGTCCTGGGGAGACGCTTTGTATGAAACACTCAGTGACTTCTTTTGCCTGGAGACTGATGAGTGCTGATGTTTGCTCTCTGTGATCCTGCCCTGCAACCCAAGGGGGTCGTTCCAAAGGCAGAGACTTGGGTGGACCAAGGAGATTCTCTGCTGGGGAATTGAACTTGGAAGCTAAAAAACATGATC